TGAGTGCTCACCTGAAAGAGAACACAGAACATTTCCACCATCTCAGCCAGTTTCCAGCATATTGCGACAGACGCCGTGACCCGGTATAATTGCAACATTAGAGGCCCATCCATGTTTTGTAACTGTATATGTATGAACATTGATAATGGCATGTAAATGGGCTCAGATCTGATGTTTCGCAACATTAACATGTTGTGGGATTCTTTGAGTTTCAATTCCATGCAAAATCTTGCTTCAACAAGTCTCATATTCATTGTGTCTTTCTGGGCAAAAAACGGTAGAAATCTCTGAATTTTTTCCAGGTCTCCAAAGCCCTGAGGGCTGTTTTTTTCAAGGAATACTAATGATTGTTATTAAGCCTTCCCATCTTTTCCTGGAAAGAAAATGCTGAAACAGATTAAGGTATTGCGTGCCATTATTTATGGTGCGGTCATCACTTTCTAATGCAAAAGGTGGAGCTGTAGGAATCTGACTCACGAGCAATTGATCTTCGAGCCACCTACAACATTTCCAGATAGCAATCTGCCCCTGTATCGGACTGAAATTCTGCCCACACACTTTCTTTCTGTGTGCTGAAACTGAGTCAGCAGTGAGAATGCTAATCTACGTGTAGTGTTACCTGGTAAGGCAGTGGTTCTGTGACTCAGTGAACCAAAGGGAATCTGGCTGCACTGACCGCTGTTCAAGGCATAACTTTGGAAAAGGTGACCAAAGTGATTTTATTCTACCGGGTAGGTACAGTTGGAGGAGCACAGAGGAAAGCATCAGTAAAACCTTAGGTTTTCTTGATCATTTCAGCAGCATATGTGCATGTGCTGTGCATGTGCAATATTGTTTGTTAAGAGATAAGAATGCTTAAGAATGGAATGAGTCAGTCCATGTGGCGCATTTGGGATTTAGACGCTAATTAATCCAAGCATCTTCTTGAAAGAAGCCAGGGTATCTGCTTCAACAAGTTAGCCAGGCTGCATGTGTTCCATACTCCCACCACTATTTGGTTAAAGATGTGCCTCATGATCACAGTTTTAATTGCACTTCCACATTACACATTACAGATGCCTTAGGAATGGAGGTTGGTCAAAATTCTGATAAATATTTTACAGTCGCAGACGTCCAGATAGTGCTTCCTTACCTTACACAATTTCCTCTTTTAATTCGAGAATGCTTATTTGTAATGAGCATGTACAGTAGAATGCTGTATCTCAGCTTTTAAAGGCTCCTTCTCTTTTTTCTTCTTTAAAAAAAATTAAACCAGACAGATCAGACTGTCTCCATTTTCCATGACAAATGTCATAATAAACAACTGGCAAACCCCACATGTTTCAGTGTCCAAACAAAAGACAACGAAAACACGAAAAGAGTTTTGTTTGCAGCTTGTGTTACAAAATTGCCAAATGCACTCTTGCAGTGCTTTCAATGAAAAAGCTTCAATACAATATCAAAGCTTCAATAACTGAAACGTTCTGAACAGAAATGTCATCCAGCTGGTCAGTACGTAACTATGATGTCTGTAATACTGAGTATAAAAAAAACAAGTTGAACCATAAGACAATAAAAGGAGAGAAAAAAAACAGGAGCCAGTGGATAAATGTTTATGTTATGGGTACAGAGAAAACATATTTCTGCTCTTTCTTATAAAGATTCTGAATTATATTGTGGTTACAACATACCCAGTATTTTCTCCTCTGCTTAAAAAAGTGTCAAATAGATACATAGCGTATAAACGTGCACTTATTTACTCTTATGGTATATTAAAACAAAAATCCAGTCATTCATTATGTACATATTGCTCACTACTTAAATCTAAATGTGGAATAAAATACTGAAACACAAAGCCTTTTTACTGACTTGTCCCGGCACATTTCAAATGGAAGTAAGATTCATAGCTTTCAAAGGACACTCAATCAGATAAAACCTACTTTTAATGTTTAATGTTGGAATTGCCAGCTTACAAGTTCCAACATTAAATTCACCTCCCTGATCAT